ACTTATACTTAACATTAATACTTGTATACGACAAAGTATAATGTTTCTAACAATTTGCTACCATGAGCCTGTAACCGCGGCTGTGACATAATACCACTGATAAAATACACTCATGATTTACCATGAGAAACAAACACACTCATGATTTACCATGAGAACAACACCGTACGCTTCATCGACGCCGAAACAATAACAAGTAAAAGGATAGTTCATCACTCGCTTTTGGTTGACTGTAGCTAACAGTCACAAGTGGGGTGGTCAACCCGTATACTAATTATACACGACTTCCTCGCTCACACGGGATTAACGGTTACAGTTCAGAGGATTTCCGCTAAGATCCCCAATCTTAGTTGATGAATACAATTACTCATGTAGACTTCGACGGCTTCCTATAGCTCTAACAATAAAAACATTTTCATGTCTAAAACCCTAAGTCACTAGACTATGCTTTTAAACATTACTCCTAACTTCATAACATTTAGGCAATATAACATCTATATCTTGAAGTAAAACCAGGTTTTATCTTGACCTAAAACCAATAATAACAACATATAACGTTCCTAGTTTTATCTTGACATAAAACTATCAATAACAATACTAAGTTTTATCTTAACATAAAACTAACAATAACAACATATAACATATCCAGTTTTATCTTGACATAAAACCAATAATAGCAACATACTTTATAACTTAACATATAGAACTTCCGAATATAACTTCGGAACTATATCACACACAACATATATATAGAATCCTAAGTATAACTCAAGATCTACATTAGTAAAATAACATGTCGACAGGTTGATAATAGTTGTATATATTCAAAATATTATATTTAGAACAACTATACCCGGCTAATATAACTATATACTATCATATAGACATAATAATAATGTATATATATTATTTAGCATGCGTTTTCCCCCGAAATATTAGAAAGTGGGGCCGTGAAACTCACCCTAGTAGCGTGATTTTATGTAATCTAAGCAGAAACGGTCAGCGTACAAGGTCGTCGGGGCTCGGGATGCAAGATGGCTTCAGCAAAGGAGAGAGGAGAAAGAAGTTTAGGTGTAAGAATGGCTGAAGTCAGACCTGCTATTTATAGTAGGGATTTTGGACCCCCACGTCATGGGTTTTATAAAGCCCACGTCGTGACTTAGGATCTTATCCTCGTAGACTTGCCATTTGCGTCCCTAGCTTCGGAAGGTGGCTATGTGACTCATCACGTCGTGAGATATCCTTGCTCACGTCGTGAACTTGGATCTTATCCCCTCGCAGCCTCGTCACACACCTTCTAGATTCCGAGATGTGGATAAATGACTTCTCACGTCGTGATTTTTGTGCTCACGTCGTGAACTCAGTCATATTAGGGTTTCTGACAGCTGAATCTTCGGAAGGTCGTAACTTTCACATACGAACTCCGTTTTTGACGTTCTTTATATGCATGCGTAGGTATTTACAAGTACTACAACTCTCTTTTATACTCTAATAGCTAATTCTAAGTCTATTTTAAATTCCTCTTATTATAGAGATATATAGTGTTCGGTTTATCATAACTTCTTCATGCGAAGTCAGATTTAGACATTCTCTATATTTTTGGAATCGTATGGACGTATACTTTGAGTTGTATCATAAAGAAAGTTCATATTTATATTAGAATTTATCATGAACTACATATCACTCTTATCATATTACTAGTTTAACAAAATCACATTACATGATTGGTATAATCACATGTGATTGTCTATTGACCTATTTTGACTAGTGTTACAAACACCAACACGACACAAATTCTATTAGATTATGGGGCATTAGACATAACCGAAGGAGTCAAGCATCCGTATGAGGAAATACCCAAAGAAAAGGAGATCATCAATGCTAGTCACCCAGAGCAACTGGTGTGTATCGGGACAACACTCCCTAAGATAACAAGAGGAAAACTGATAATATTACTCCATAAATATCCACATGTTTTAATGTGAAAACCAGATTATATGGTGGGAGTTGATAGAGATATAATCGAGGATGGGTTGAACATACAACCTAGTAGTTTCCATATTAAACAGAAGTATCAAATAGAACCCTAGTGAGCATAATCAAAAAGCAGTCAGGCAAAGCAAAAGGCAACTGGGTCGAAGAGCTCCCCAATGTGTTATGGTCCTACTGAACTACCCCACGATCCAACACCAAAGAAACACCTTTCATCCTGATGTATGGTACGTAAGTAGTTCTCCCAGCGGAGCTATTAATTGGATCTAAGCGAGTCATAGAATTCAACAACGACATATCAGACAGTGATCTCCTCCACAACCTCGACCTCCCGAAAAAGAAGAGAGAAATAGCACAACTATGTCAAGCATTATACAAGATGTAGACATAAAACTATTACAACAAACATATGCATAAACGAGTAATTAAAGTAGGAGACTTGGTGATGTGAGCAAATGCAATTAGCCATAGTGTACCGCGAGTCAAGCTAGGCCAGACATGGGATGGTCTATATAAAATAGTCGAAGCACATCAGAATGGATCTTTTGAGTTAGAGACCTTAGAAGGAAGACAAATTCCTCGCACATGGAACATCCATGATCATAAAAAAAACTTTTAAAACAATGGAGGAGAAGAGGAAGAATCCAACAAAGAGAACACAACTCTAAGTAGTGGAAATACCCATACCACACCATTTTGTAATGACTTCGCGTATTTAGTATTTTATGCAAGCATCCATGTTAGGCTGATCACTCTATTTCTTTTCTTTTACTAAAAATCTATTTTTTCATTTTTATGCATGCACATGTTTGTTATAGGTTAAAGGATCATAACCTTTACCATGAGTTGTTTGGCTTCTCAGCTCAACTCTCCATGACGGTAGGCTGCTCAGCCCCAGGGGCGGAACGAGTTAGTTTGCAGGGGTAGCCCGTGCTACCCCTCAAGAATTCTGGAGAAGAAGGTAAGAGAAGGGAGATGAATCGTATGTATGCTAAGGTGCTACTCCTCAAATGAATTGTGCAACTCAAGAACTCAGAGAAATCCTAATCCCTGTTTGGTATGCGGTAATAGAATCAGGAAAGGACTACCGTATTCAAAAGGAATGAAAAATTGGATGTTTAGTTGGTGGCTAGAAAGGAAACATGTATTCTTGATGAAATATCGTCCCCTCTAAATGCGTCTTTTTTATTCCCGCTAACCCCCTGTTTTCATTCCATTCCTTTCATGTTTTGCCCTTTTATTGGCTCCTTGAATCGTTCAAAATCCCCAGATTCAACAAAATCGCGACATAATCAACTATTTAAAATAGATTGACAATTGATTTCAGTAATTTCAATAAAATGAATCACGTTTAAGCTTTCAGGTGTGTCATTGAATCGATTCCCATATTAGAAGCAATCAATTTTAACAGTAGAAAAAATTCGACAAGTTCATCATTCTTGGAGTTGGAGTTTCTAAAAACAATTTGAACTGTATATCTGAAAGGTATTGTAATCCTTTTCACAATTTCTTAGTCATTTGATTTCAAACTACCGAATTTAAGTTCATATGCACAAGTTGACTTTCTTGATCAAGTCTGTGCATATTAACTGTTCGCTGAATGTCTAAATGAAATGTCTTAAAGGTAGAGGGTGTAAGTTTATAGTCTTATGTTTGTGACAGTAAAAAGTGTATGTCTAATCCAGTAAAGAACAAGAGTTGTTTATATTACTAGCATAATGATCCAAAACAAAAATCTTTGCGGTTTCTCTTTAAAGGTTAGCATTCCTTTGTCCAGGTGGTAGTCTTGTAACAAGAATGGCAAACTTATCTCATAGATGGTCAGAGCATATACTAGTTTAACTTTGGAAAGTTTATTTTAGGTGTAAATTAAGTTTGATAGTTGGAGAGGTTATTGACTAATAATCTAATATCTCTTTCTAGTAAGTTTGGTGACTTCGTTCCCTGCTTTTTAATTGTTCGTTTTGGTTTTGTATTTGGAAACTTTTTGGCTTAATTGTATTATGAATAAGATTATGAAGCGGGGTTTGTAGGCAATCAAATTTTCTTTTGACTGGTAAAATCTTTAGATGAGTTTTGGGTACTGATGGTTAATTAGCTCACTTTATTTGCATCCAACACATTTACTTTTTAGCATGGTTAATTAGCTCATTTTGTTTGTTGCCAAAGCATTTACTTTTTGGTTTTTAGGAACTTTTACACGTCAAACTTTTTTTATACCATTTAAAACGATTTGCTCACTTTTATTCAAGTCGCATTGTAGACATTTTCACAGAAACAATAGAATAGGAAAAAAAATTGTGCTACCCCTAGAGAAAATTTCTGGTTCCGCCCCTGCTCAGCCCCATCACGACATTGTTGAAAGGATGGCAACCTTTACCACGAGTTTTTTGGCTTCTCAGCTCAACTCTCCATGATAGCAGACTGTTCAACCCCATCTCGATATGGTTTAAAGGATTGCAACCTTTACCACGAGTTGCTAGGCTGCTCAACCCTGTCTCGACATGGTTGAAAGGATTACAAACTATACCACGATTTTCTTGGTTTCTCAGCTCAACTCTTCACGACGGTAGACTGCTCAACCCCGTCTCGACATGGTTGGAAGGATTGCAACCTTTGCGAAGAATTGTTTAGCTACCCAATTCAACACTAAACAATGACAAGCTTCTCTGCATCAAAAAATAAATAAACTAAAAAAATAAAGAGAGGGACAAAGGAAAAACTACAACTCCAACTGGCAACTATTCCAAACAAGCAGGGATTAATTCAACAGTACTAGACATTAACAAAAGCAATATTACATCAATGTATAAAATAACGTTAGCAACCACTTGATAAAAAAAGGAAAACAAATTGTTCATGGGCCGAAAGCCCTACAGAAATTAAACAACCACCCAGGGCTCCCAAAAGAAAACAATAACAAAAGAAAGATAGACAGAAAACACAAAAGTTGTCATGATATTATCATCTTCACACCCGAAAAGGGTAACACAATTGGAACAAACCTATCACGCAACAAAGCTTCCTCCTTTTCTATCGTCACCATCCAAGCCTGTAATCTTAGCCACACCATTGATACCTCCATCAGCACGATCTTCATAAATGCATAGTTCCTTCAGGTCATCAACATCCAATTCACCCAAGTGCAGTAAAGTTGCATAATCGCAGGAAACAAATGCATAAATAGAATCTGTAACCTTACCAGCATGGCTCAAAGAAGAACTAGCTGCGCCAATGTCAAATGTCCTAACAACAACTTCCCTCTTTACACTTTCTAGGCTCGATTCTTCCCCGACATCCCAACAAATATTCTTGATAAGACTAATGCCATGAATAAATTCGAGAAGCTCGATAACCTTATCCACCACTCTCACTACACCCTCATTAACAACCCAGTTAAGATGAAATTCTAATTTTGCTGCAAATTCTTTAGTATCAATGAGCATTTTATCATTCTCCAACAACTTCCTCTCCATAATTTCAACACGAATGCTCAAAGCTTCATTCTTTTGCATAATCTCATCCAATTTTTACTCCATGTCCGCTACTCGCTCCTCCACTACCGCTTTATCTGACGCAAGTAACCCTAATTTTTTTTTTATCAAAAGTACTTGCATTGCATTCCAAAGAAGCTAGATGACCCCACAAGTCTTTCTTATTGGTACACAGATCAACATTAGTGTCTCTCAGATGACAAATACATCTTGCCCCAACATCAAGAAAGTAGGAAGATTAAGCGCATGCAAATTCGAGATACCTAATTCTATTTTAGTAATTAACCCATTAGGGAAAGTGTGACGTGCAAAATCTACAACACTCTCCCTCAGGGAAAATAGGCAGATTGAGCACGAGTAAATTCGGGAGTCGGTAGAAAGATTCCACCTCGAAACGAAAGGTTTGCTAGCACCAATACGATCCCTCTACGACCTACTAGTGTCAATGCCAATCAAAGGAATATTGGAGCTGGTTGCAGACTTCTTAATCTTTTGCCCTATAGCACCACAGGCACAATCTACACGGATTTTCTCGGACACAACATGTTGATTAGTCACCTTAAATTTCCCCTTAGACCGTTCGACGTCATCATCGGGAACCGGTATGACTTCCCCACTGGAATAACGGAGATCTGCAAGAAGGTTTGCAACAACTTTCCTCCTCTTCACACAAACTACAATAAGCACATTACTACCACCATCTGTGCTAAGATTGGAAGCATCCAACAGAGCTCTCCTCCTAACCTGACGATCTCCAAACCCATAAAGAATGCCTTATTTGCTGTCTTCCATGAAATTCGAATCGCTAGGTTTGTTGTGTTTTGACAACCTAGAAACTGGGGCATTGACAGGAACCCCAAAAACATGTTAGCTACACCAATGACACTCCCACCATGGGACAAAATATCTATACCGAAAAATCACCATTCTCAACATCCGTCTAGGAAAAGGTAGGTATTTAGACAAATCAAGCTCGCTAAAATACAAGCCCCCCTTATAATTCTTACCCAAAACTCCACAAACCTTAACATATGTTCCTCCCATATCGAACCAGACACCAAAATCGATCAACTTCCAATATTCTTTTTCCCTTTTCTTTATTTTCTTAAGGGGGGGGGGGGGGAGAAGAAGAGGGGGAAATAAAGAGAACATGGAGAATGTTGAGAGGAGAAAATACAGGAGGAAAGACTAAAAGCACTTACCATGTTGATCACATAGAACTTCAACATCTTCACACGATGATGCCACTCAATACTCATCCCTGCCCTGGCTAAGATGTATTCAGGAAACTCCTCACGTATGACATGGAAACCATTCAAATGACAAACAACCTCTTTGTTATGTGGCAACAATTTAGGGGTGCCGCCAGAAGTAGATTCTGAGCGGAAGTATGGACCTCCGACACGGGAACCATTTACCTAGATACAACTATTTTGCCAGTTTTTAGGGCTGCTCTCCCTTGCTGGCAAAAGAACATGGCTATTCTTTCGAGCATAAAAGGTATACTTGTTGTCGGTGGTGGAAAAACAAACATAGTTCTTAAAGACCAAAATGTTAGGAAGCATACCTTGAGAACAACAAAGCATCTCAAATGTCATGATCTTCATAACAACATTTAGGGTCCACTCTTAGATGTTAATGATGGGTTTTATAGATTACAATAACTATGTGCTTACGGAATTTCACTTAACATTTAAGGGAACATGCAACCTAAAGGATCTATGTCTATAACACTTTGAATGTAACATGCCATGAACAAACAAATAACTAGAACCCTAATGTCTTCCAAGTATAATCAAATCACAAGAATAAAGGTTACATACATTTTTATTTGTTGTAGTAAAAAAAATCAATCCAATCATTCTTCAAATGTTCTTAGAAGCAAGCACCAAAAATATTATGCATATGATGGTTCATACCCAAACCCTAACAACTAAGAAAACTTGAAGAGGGAGGTGGAGGGAGGTAAATTTTTGGACATGCTCTAAGAAAAAGGAGTGGCAAAAATATGAGGCTAATAGACGCTATTTATAGCTAATAGGAAAACCCTAGATAACCTAACCTGATTAAAATAATATTATATCAAATCAGGTAATTATCTAGTTTCCTAATAATCGGTATTATTTTTAAGGGATATTCTAGAAACCGTAGAATAGTCCTCAAAATTGTCCACCTCTTTTGGAGGGTTCTGGAATCCCTTTTGTTCAACTATTGAACAATTACAGCTTAGGTCCTTACACATTTAATTAATCCAATTAATCCCAAATTTAATTCTAGTTAATTTTTGATTAATTCTTAATTAAATAATACTATTTCTAAATAATATATAATTTTAATAATATATTAACAAATCATTTATTACTATTTATTAATCATATAATAAATCAATAAATTAGTCTCTCTCTCTAAAAGTCATCATATCCAATTACCAGTTTTGAAAGCAACCCAAAAGGACTTTGCTAACAGCTTAAGTATATACCAATTTAGTTATTGGATTACACACCTAATACAACAGTCTTCCACTTGAATAAGTCTATAACTACAATTTCCAGTATAACTTCTAAACTAACAGCAAATGGTGCTTCCTAAAGCAACTCCAGTCTCTGATTTGATCAAACAATAGTCCAAAGATAAGTGATCAAATATTCCTTCGTTCTACAAGACATCGTATGGACATGAGACATAGATTGAAATCAATCTCATTGTCCAAAATCCTGTTTCCCGATTTCCTGATTTATGACAACTGAATTTAGAATACTAGTTGAATACATCAATTCAGTCCGGGCTCGGCCAAACACTTCAGATGTCGACAACAAATCATCAAGGGTCCCAAATATATCGCTTTTCTTGTTATGGAAAAAGGAATAAATAAATTTCGACTTATATGCTTGTATCTTTTACTCATCAAATCAGGCACGATGCTATGTTTTATAACATCAAGTTACTGATGCATTTACATAACACCAATGCACAATCGACTTGTAAATTACAACTCATATATCTCCATTTTAAGAATATAAGATATTATCATCTCATAATTACTCGTGATAGAATCCATGAAGTAATTCTCTGAGCGTGAGTTTATCCAATACTCAAAATCTCTATTTTCCTAGTACTCATGAATATTGTAGCAATACAATATGATATGTCTAATCTCCTTAGACAATGTACAATCCAATCCATAACAGTCTTCATTCACTACTTACTCCCAAAAGTATGAGTGACTGTGGAATTTTGAATAATCAAATCATTCAGGAAGTAAAACATGCAAAGTGAAACACAATAATAAACTAATTAAATATGGTTTCAAAAATATTGAATATAAATAATCTCTATTATTTAATCACCATAATAATCACGACTTTATTCATTGTATAATGTTTTGAGTAATCATCTAACCACTTGAATTAAAAATTTGTCATGCCATATTATAAACATGCATACTATGCCTCTCTATGGTCCTTCCTTAGTAAACAAAGCATCTGGACATTATTCCAATGATGCTCATTTCATAATTCCAAATTCTTATCACTATCCAAGATGTGACGGAATTCCAACTTAACATGCATTAATCTCTTGTGATATCAAGATTTCAAAGTCTCAAAGACTGATCCTTTGATATTACAGAATATCTTATTGGAACTTTGTTACTAGAAACAACTCCCCGATAATGAAGGTTCTAATTCAAAGTACACTCCTTGAACACTTCTCTTGCATTAAAGTATCCAACACACATGTAGACTTTTCAAGTATCTCCCATTATGGAAACATTTCCATATTTCCAGACAACAATTAATTCTGATCAAGAACCATCTCAATCCAGAATCATGTCACTATGGTCCATCCACATTAATATCATACTTTGAAGTATCCACAAGCAACCAATAATTTTGTATAACCTTAGAATGTCATTGACAGTTGTTTAACAACTTTAGTCACACAAAATTATAGTCATTTTTCTCACAATTCTCTAAGTATTTGAAAAAATTACAATAAGTGAATATCATAGCATATATAATCGATCCTATATCCGAAGCATATGGGACTTGACTTATTATGTATCACATAAGGATTTGATATTTGTTCAGTCTTTTGATATAATATTTTCATATATTAAATTTCCTATGTTGAACCATTTTAACATGATATTCATATACGTGTATGACTAAGTTCTATTAAACCCTACAATCTAAACCTTTAGATTTGGAAAAAATGTATGAGTGCCCTCTCCCTTACGTCTACTATAGTGAAACAATTCCCAAACTTTGCAATTTTCAAATTGAAAACTTTGTTCCCTACGAACAAATATTGTCAACATGCAATACTAGCATAACAATTATGTTCCCAATAGCTTTGACATCTACCTAGAAATCAATTGGACTTATAGATACTCTTGAGTTTCTTACTAAAGTACAAACTTCTGTTACGCGATGCTTCGATAAGTCTCCAACTAGACTTCTTAAGCCTATACACCTTAACTAGATAACATATGTGTGTGTGTTTAAACCCTTTCAGAAGTTATAGATATATGTCTTGAAAGTTCAAACAATTCCTTGTCATTCCTCATAATTCGAAATATGAATAGGGATGCCGTAATCATATTATGAATTTGAGAACGTAATTAACACAACTAATATCCATATTGATCTTTGTCAAATCTTTAGAATCTACCAGAGAAAGTATTTCCTCATAATCGTTCTCATGAATTAGAGCAAAAACTTTGACACCTTGATTTCATGGTGAATATGTTCCCATCCATGTGAATCTATCATTTCCAACCTACGATCATAAGAAAAGGTTTAGGACAAAACCAAATTCAAATTTAGCTTTTCTTCATGGACTAGACTTCGCTATTCTAAATTTCTTGCGCTATGGTAGCTCAAGGGCCTACCAATGCTTCCACGTTGTTAACAACTCACCCATATTTATCAATGTACTTTCACTGACCAATGCACTTTTTCTTTTGCAGTTAAATGAAAAACATAGAACTCATAAGAATTGCCAACTCAGATAGAAGTGCA